ACAAACGCACAAACACACAAACACACACACTCCCAACGCACACGCAAACAGGCACACAAGCACACAAGCACACAAGCACACAAGCACACAAGCACACAAGCACTCAAGCGCACAAACACACAAGCACCCCACAAGCACACAAGCACACAAACGCACAAACGCACAAACACACAAACACACACACACACACACTCCCAACGCACACGCAAACAGGCACACAAGCACACAAGCACACAAGCACACAAGCACTCAAGCACACAAGCACACAAGCGCCCCACAAGCACACAAGCACACAAACGCACAAACGCACAAACGCACAAACACACAAACACACACACACTCCCAACGCACACGCAAACAGGCACACAAGCACACAAGCACACAAGCACACAAGCACACAAGCACACAAGCACACAAGCACACAAGCACACAAGCACCCCACAAGCACACAAGCACACAAACGCACAAACGCACAAACACACAAACACACACACACACACACACACTCCCAACGCACACGCAAACAGGCACACAAGCACACAAGCACACAAGCACACAAGCACACAAGCACACAAGCACTCAAGCACCCCACAAGCACACAAGCACACAAACACACACACACACAAACACACACACACACACACTCCCAAACGGGCTTTCCAGAGGCCCAACTGAGGTCGGACCGAGCCGCACGTCTGGAGCTAAACGCCATCGGAGGTAGCCATGGTCACCCTGAGCTTTGCCGTCCGCCTTGTTTGCACTTTGTCCGAAGGGCGTGCCCGAGCCACTGCCGGACTTAAAAGGCTTTGGCCCTTTGCCCGTTATTTTCTCTCTTTTTCAAAAAGAGCAAGTAGCAAAAGGTTTAACTTTTCGAAGGATGTCGGATCCGTTTGGCCAAGGAACGGTGAGAAGTGCTTCTATTGCCACCTGCCCCATCCGACTCGCCCTGTGATTTTAGACAAGCGTTTACGGCAGGCGGCGGGGGCGTTAGATGTGGCCTGGAGAACCCAGTAGCAGTTCTTTTGATATTTGAGCTTCGTAACCCAGAAAGGGGCCCTAGTTTGAGCAGACCTTTCCCTCAAAAGGCAAACCTGGGACTGCCGTTTGTTTTCCGGACGCTTCAGGATGCGTCTTTCCTTGCCTTGGTCCTGCCAGTGCTACGGCATCGGATGGACTGGCTCCAGCCAGAGGTTGCGAAGCGTGCGGAGGAGTTGATCCGGGCTTCTCGATTCTTCAGTGTCGCTTCTGCCCTGTTTGCCGGTCCCTTTTCTTGGCGAAGCCTTTTCTTGCAGCCGTTCCCTTCAGGTTTTTAGGTTTTTAGGTTTTGAGGCTTTCAGGGTTAGTAGGGGTTTCACCCTTTCAATATTTTGTCGGGGGATCTGACAGCCCAGCCCGGCTTTCCCTTAGCCATTTCAAGCATCTCTTGTTCCATCAAGTTCTGTGAGTTTCCTCTGGTGATGGACATGTAGGGAGCCTTTTTCGTGCCGTGGTTTCTGCTCAGCTCCCTTTCAGTATTATCAGAAACATATTGAAGCGCGCAGACTATGAATATTGCACATGTCGCTGCATGATACATGTACTCTCAGTGCCCCTGAGGCTACCATCAGTGCTGAACAGAATACACATCAGATAGCAGCTGCAAGCATTGTTTGACCTGTTTCAACACTTCAACAGGCATCAGGTGGACAGGCGCAGAGAAAATATGTCCAAATACGGCACGGTAAGAATTCAAGCTACAGCATCGGCGGGTATAGCAGCAGGGTCTACAAGGAAGGCAAAAGGAACCGTGTCAGCACCAACACTCACGCCAACACAGTGACAACGGAGAGAAATGGCACTTCAAGTTGCAAGCGGAACCTGCCAGAGGAGTTACATACTTTCCAGCATTTGACAAGGCCTAAGAGCTACCGCAATCTGCTCGCGCAACAAATGGGCCACGCCAACAGGCAGGAATCGTTGGCTTGACAAAGCTACTGAAAGCTACGTGTCTGGAACAAGAGGACAAATCCTAGAATGTGATTGAGGCGTCGCCCAGCATGAGCGTCCAGATGTCCCGCAGATACCAGCGCCACTGTGTAAATGAAGCCAAATGTGCCAGACATAAGCAAGCAGAGCTGGGACAATGACAAGTCATGGTCGTTGCAGTGCGAGGTCGATTCCACGAAACAAACCTGGAATGTCTTTTCAGGATTTCTAGGATGTCAGACACAAACAGTTCAAAAACAAACAATAGCAACAATTCAAGGATGATATTAAACATGTAGACGTTAATATAAAAGCAAACCAAACACATGAGACGATGACATGTTCATGCAAGTATTTCAACAACAAAACATAATCAAACAAACACATCAACACATTAAATGCATGAGTCACTGAATATGGGCCAGAATCCAGCATTGAAGGATGTTCGCGAAATGGGAACCGACACAGAAGCGCAGGAAACCCTGACGTCTTCCATCTGCCGATGTTATACAGGATCCAGCTTAAACTGGGCAGACATGTTTCGGGGTTCTCAAGATTCATTTCGGGGTGGCTTCCCTTGGAATCAGCATGTGGCAGGTAATTCCGAGGATGTCACTTTATTGGACCCAGTTGTAGGCACCATAGGTTCGTAGCCCACCGGTCTTGCCTGCTGTCCCAACCTTCTTTTCTTGGTGACTCCCAGCCATCCGGTTCCTTAGCTTGGTAGCTTTTTATTGTTTAGTTGGGGATTTCCATTTAACCAGTTTTGGATTGTTTGTCCTGTCCCAAGGTCTTGCGGCTTTCCATGCGGGGGCTTTAACGGCTCGTGAGCCATTGGCTTCCGAAGCCGAGCCATTCCGGAAATCCGTCTCCTTTGCGCGAGAGTCCGCTTCCTTTTTTGTGTCTTTGTAGCCTTAGCATCGTCCTCACGTCCATGATGTCTTAGCTCCCTTGCGGTAGAGCCGAGTGCAGATGACCACAGCAAGAGGCACACCAAGTACTTACAAAAGACCGAGGATGTCGACAGCACAGGGAAGGAGCCGCTGGCAAGAACAGCGCCGCAAAAGAGCGGCAAGACTTCAACTACTGCCACTAGCGAGCCTACACTGCTTTCTTTCGGACTCTTGGGAGATGCATTTTCTTCTCTCTCTCTCTCTTTTTTTGATTCTGGCGCTTCCGCGCCAAGAGCGAGCCAGGTTCGAATACAGTTTACGACAATTAAGCGTTGTTGTATAATATATATATATATATATATCAGATATATTTATGTTTATATCTTTTGACAAGATTCAGACATCACCGGGTATTTCTATAAGGAGAAGTCTAGTAAACCATCGTATACTGCTTTTTTGTTGGGCCATTGGGGTACAGTGAGTGGGCCTCCAAATGCCTGGTTTCCTTTGGTTTCCCTGTGTTTCTGTGGCAAGTCCTAGGCATGTTCACCTGGCTGCCACCAGGGAGCCAGTTGTTTTTTTTTCTAGTTCAACCAGTCCCAACGGGATTTATACCGTTGATTTATTCAAGCCTCTCCCTCGAATATCTGCTTTTGAACATCATTTTGGGGGTTTGGACATGGGTAAAAGTCTTTTCTTCTTCTTTTTGTTTCGCGGATACTATTAAGAGGTATACCTTGGCCAAACAGTAAGTAAGGGAGTATGGAAACTACTGTTCTCATCCTGGGAATATTGTCATTTTTTGGCAAACAGTTTCCAGCAGGTTTTACCAGCATGAGGTTCTCAAAACAAGTGCCCTTCCAAGAAACATGGAAGCTCACTCAAAACAAGGGCCCTTCCAACAAACATGGAAGCTCACAGGATTGGACGATTTGCGGAGAGCCTCTGTGCCCGCTTCCGTTGAGGGTATATGGTATACTTCTTTCTTTATGGAGGCATAGCTTTAGCTTGCCGGGTCTCAGCAGGAAGACATGGAATGACACCAATAACAGCCTGAGCTTCACTGGTAGCGCTATGGCCCCTTTTGCAAGGATGGTCAAGAGGGCGGGCAAAATGACGCTTTTGGCGGTCGTGTTGCGAGGCTTTGGAGTGCGAAGAGCTGCCGGAGGTCACGGAGAATCGGCTCCAGCGTCGGATGTTGAACATGAGCTTCGCAGCGCTGGTGAACCTGCTGAGCGTCAGGTGGGGGCTCCAACTTTCTTTTCGGCGAACGGGAATTTGGGGCTGGGGGAGGGAAAGGAGAGGCCCAAATATGGGCTAGGGCTGGTTTTCCCCCCCTCCCCTCCTCTCCCCTCCCCTCCCCTCCCCTCCCCTCTGGTCCACGTCTTGCAAATCCCACCACGGGCGCTGCGGTGCATGTTGCTGTCAGGGCAGGTGCGGCGCATTCGCAACCTCGGAACAGATGTTGAAGCTCGAAAATGGCTTTTTGTAGGTCACAAGCACTGCACAAAGTTCCCTCTCAAAGCTTCGGTGAAAAAGTCGCAGCTTATCGGTTCAAACTCCCATAGCTGCAGCTCGAAAGTCGCAACTTTGCCGGTGGGTGGCAATGATCCAAGGACTGAGTGGCGAGGCACCTGACAGAACGCCCCCGCCGCAGCTCACTTCTGCAGCCATCCTGCAAGCTCCCAATCCATGCCATCAGCGCACTTCAAGTTGAGCGCCAAATGCGTAGGTAGTTGATAGCTAAATAGCTCACTAGAAGGGGAAGATGGCTGAACATTGAGACAGAGAGAGAGAGAGAGAGAGAGAGAGAGAGAGAGAGAGAGCGAGAGAGTGAGAAGCATAGAGCGAGAGAGAGAGAGAGAGAGAGACAGAGAGGCAGTGACAGATAGATAGATCGTCGCCTTTGCTCCTGGAAGCCCAGTCATGGCTCCTCTAGATTCCAAATACCTTGCCAGATCTGTTGGTACTTCGTGCGCGAGCGCCTCCTGCAGCAACTGGGTCTAGAGTGGCCGCAAGAAGGCTGGGGTGTTGAAAGGACCTTCAACCTCCCTGCTAAAGAGCAGGCAATTGTTTCAGACAGAGAACTCGCGCGTGTCATAGCAGAATCCTTCTTATGCGGAGCTGGATCAAAGTTGAGCCGAGTACATGCATGCATCCCTTGAGTTCATGTTTGATGCCTAAAAAAAGAGCTTGCCTGCCCCTTCTCTCCTTGCCACCCCGCCAGCAAGATTTTAGGGGCTGCTTCAACACTGAAAACATCCATCTGCATGACGGGCACTGTTCCCGCAGGCCAAAGCATGATGGTAAGCGCCCTTCGCGCCCTCCCCTCCTCTCCCCTCCCTCCCTCCCTCCCGCCCGCCCGCCCACCCGCCCGCCCGCCCGCCCTCCCGCTCCCTCTCCTCCCCCTCTCCCCTCTCCCCCCTCTCCCCTCTCTCCCCTCCCCCTCCCTCCCTCTCTCCCTCCTTCAGTTGAAGTTTGGCAAAGCTGGACAAACTGTCTGACGTGAGATGTAGAACGTATGCTAGATTGGTGGCGTACTAATGCAAGCTTCTATACCTCCAAGTCCCTTACCTGGAAATGGTGGTAACTTGCGGATGTGTGATGTTCAGGATGTTATTTCAGCAGCGACCTGGCCACGTGTGACCTTGAAAGGTCCAGCAGTCGGAAGTTATGTTAACATTCTCAAGCCAGGCCCACCTACTCCTTGGATGCCAAGGATTCTGGAAGGGTGGTGGTTGTTTCCATTGGGTTTTCCTGAGCAAAATGGGGACCCCCCCCCAAGATATAGTCAAGAAGACTCTCAGACTCCCTGATTTCCTTCCACCCACCTGCTTTTCTGACGAGAATCGGTTGCTTAATATTTATCTTTGTCATGGGAGGAGGACCAATCAACAAACGGAATGTGGTGGGGGATTTTTGTGGTGCGTGATGTGTTCAGGCACCCTTGGGGGGCTTTTCTGAGGCGCGCTGCGCCTGGGAGGGTTCAGCTCATGGAGGCGCTGAAGGAGATGCGCGCGCTGTGCGTCCGGCTGAGTCACGGAGTGCCGGCTTGAATGGCCAGTGTCGGCTTGCTGTGTCGAACCCCCACGAAGTCACTGGGACACCAATGACCAGAAAAGAAAACCAGCTTCACACGCGCATGCCGCGTGTCATAAGATTTGGGCCCGTTTCCAAACGGGTGGTTTCCTTCTTGGCTTGTGCAAATGCCAGAAGGGCGGCTTGTGCAAATGCAAGAAGGGTGCCTCATTTTTGAGACAGACCCTTAGGGTTGCTCCTTTCACCTGTGACCAAGCCAAGCCAGAAATTTTGTTTGACCATGTTTGCGGTCTTTGGAGCGACCCTAAGGGAGACCAAAGGTTGGGCGAAGCTTGTAGGAACCCAACGGGTTGTTCAAATCGTCCGTGCAGAAGGCACGGGCTTTTTAGTTCCGGCATCCAAAAGGCTCATGGGTATATCAGTATATCCATCCGTTCACCCCTTTGTGGTTTCCAAAACCAATGAAATGCGACTACAAGTCGGGTGTAAAAGATCGGAGAAGCAGAGATTCGAGACCGAAAGCGGTCTCTATCGCTGATAAGCAGATATCTTAGCGACTAGGTTTGCTGCTTGTTGGACGGGACAGCAACGTTTTTCCGATGACTAAACTGTGCAGGGATTCATATCCGGTCAGTCAACGCTTTAGAGCCTGGCGTCGAAAGCGGGCGCGAGCCTTTCACTGTGCCGCCTTCTCGTCGTCCAGGGAGAGCTTTGGTGAATATGGCGGCGAAAAGGCGTGAGGTTGAATGCCGCGGACCTGCTCTTGTGGCTGGAGGGAGGGAGGGGGGGGAGTTTCCTACCAGCACTGCTTAAGAATAGTCTTTTGAATGATATGCGCACCAAGTGCGGTCCAAAAAGCAGCGGGTTAGGTTTCCGCTACACCACTTCGAACTTTGGATTTGCTTCTTGCCCCTGGATTTTGTTTGGGGCCACACGGCCCCCTCGCTTCCTCCCGGCATTTCGTTAAACCCAGCCGCCAACCCTCCTCAGGCCTGCGGGAGCAAGCGTTTTTGATTTCCAGAAGTCACGTGTCTTGGTGGATTTCCCCTTTGCGAGCCTCGCAAACAGTTTGAGAAATCGGCAAACTGTCGTGTTGCTTTTCGGGCGCTCCCCCAAATTTGACCAATCCTGACAATTCTCAGAGGGTTCCAAGGGCACATCATTCTGACAGCCCCCCCCCCCCCCCGCGAAGAGAGAGAGAGAGAGAGAGAGAGAGAGCGAGAGAAGACCGCAGAAACTGGGGATTGCCGATTCCATGGTTGAGAGCAGAGCACCGTTTCGGTTTGATTCAAAACATGCAGAGTCTTTCCCAAAACGCTTCCTCCAAGGCAGACTTTTCCACCGCTTCACTCGGGTACCCGAGTGAAGGTTATCTGAAACCGGACCCCAAAATCAACTTGGTTCCCGTAGGTCCAAGGTGCGTCGACCGGGAAACTCTGGGGAGGCTTTGGATGCGAATCTGTGCATCGGGGTAGTAACAGAGTAGACCAGGGAGAAGAGCGGGTGGAATCTACGAGCGCCGAATGGTGAAACAAAATTGATTTGAATGCCTGAACCCATTTTGGTGCAAGGGAAAACCAAAAGAGGTCGGTTAAACAAGGTGTGATCAAGCATGTTTGAACCAAGGGGGTTGTCCAGCGTTGCTCGACGCCTCTCAGGAAACGAAGAACCAGATGGTGCAGAAGAGCCATGCGCAGGCGCGACAGGAATGCCGCGGGAACGAGGTTTGGATGATTCAACTACTTTTGCCACCATAAAGAACTGTTGGACATGTGGAATGCATCATTTTGTCGTTTCCCATTTTCCCCTCCACAACGTCCACAAAAAACTAGTCTTGGAGTGTACTTTTGGTTCCCCCTCATTGCAGAAAAAGCTTAAACACAGGATTCCTAAATACTATTCCTGTATTCCATGTACCACCCCTGTGTTGAAGCACTTTTACGCAGGGTTTCGGGGTAGTGGCTCGACCCTCCACCACTCTGTTTGCTGGTTCTCAAGCAGGAATGAGGGGATGCTTCTATGAAACATCCTGAAAGTGAATTTCTTAAAGAGCATCAAGGCATCAGGTCTATTTCCCAACAACCGGATTTGCTGGACCAGCAATAGTTGTGCTTTTGGAATTATTCGATGGAGCAATCATTAACGAATGCTGTGAGGAGGATGGTGGACATGATGGATTCGTTTCCGCCCTCTGTTATGCCAGGGAACCTCGCCTTCTCCATTCCGGGTGACCCCCAACCCCCCTCCTCCCCAACCCCCCTCCTCCCCTCCCCCCTCCTCCCCTCCCCCCTCCTCCCCTCCCCCCTCCTCCCCTCCCCCCCTCCCCCTAAACCACCGCAGGTTTCGCTCGCGAAACGTTTCGCTCGCGAAACCGCTGTCAGGTGGGCATCAGCCAGTGGGAGTCAGGACGTCAGGCGAGGCATTCGAGGAGCGATCTGGCTTACTCTCCTTCCTGCGTTGCCACACCTGGAGCTTACCTGGAAGCTCCATTTTCTTATAGACCCCCCTGTTAAGGGACAACGTGGGAGAGAGAGGGTATTTGTAAAAAAAAATCTGGACAGCAACGGCTGTGGAGTCTTTCGTCAAGGCTAATCCCTCCCAGAAGCTCGCATCTTCAACCCGGAAAGCAAATTCAGGTGCGTGTGGGCTTCCCTTTTGTGGAATCCTTCGAAAGAAGCTCCCCTAGAAGTCCCTGAACTTGAGCAGGAATCACAATTGAAAAACATAGAAGGCCAAGGATTCCTTTGAGTCGGTTCCAAACCTCTCTTACCCAAGTTTCAAATCACGCGGTTTGGCGCCACGTCACCACACTTTGAAGTTGTTTGGAACCAACACAGAGCGCCCCCGAGCCTGCAATAACTCTTGGGTCGACTCAACTGTCCTTTCTGATAGAAACAATCACCCAAACAAGGATCCATGCATGGCTGGCCGGCGGGTCACTCCCATATTCCCGTATTTCCTTGGTGTCTGAGTTCCCTTGTGCTCTGGGCTGCTTGGCCACCTTTTGTACAAGGTCTTGTTTTTCCCTTTTCCTCAAAAGGGCCCCTTCAGCACCCCTTCAGCACAAGAAATACATGGCCCAAAGGGTTTGGAAGCAGAAAAGTCTGGACGCCCCAAAAACACCCGGTACACCTTTCGCTGGTCCGAAGGTCGGGGGTCCAAACGGGCGCCAAACGATTGGCGCAGGCTTCGGCTTCCGTCCGTTCCTCCCAGGCCCAGTCCGACGCGGACCGAGCCGACGGTCAGCGCACGCCCCCCAACATCCGGGAGCTCCAGGCGTTGGTTTTTGGCTTTGCCGCGCGTCTGGTCTGTGTCTGTGTGTGTCTTTTTCTTTTTGGCAGGGGTTTGGTTGGGTCGGTTGGCTTGTTGGGTTGTTTTCTTTGTTTCTTGGATTGTTTGTTTGTTTGATGGTCTGTTTGAAGGGAAACCAAGGTGAAACCAAGCAGATCACTTTGCCCGCCGTCTCGATCTCCGAGCTTCTTGCATGCTGCTACATTTGGCCCACAGCTGCAAACAACGAGCACACCACACAGCCAGTGACAATGTGATTGCGGCTATGCCTGGTAGTTCACATTTGCTTAGAGGAGGACAAGAGGAGACCACCCAAAGTAGCCACATCAAGTCGGGCTGGGGCCCGATTTTTTGGACGTGCAGAATTTGGTTTCTTGCTCGCAGATACATTTGACCATATGCCGCTTGGTTTTGACCAAGATGGAAATCACCTGTTGACCTTTCGACCTTTTGACCGCTTACCTTTGGTGTGACCGCGGACCGCGGTCCCAGCTTGGCTTTGAGCCACCGAGAGGGCCTATGGATGAATCCAACGGGAGGTGGCTTGTCTTTGAGGCCATAGCTTTGTAGTTCTGTGGGGTCGCTTTGTTTTTTGTCTTTTTCGGGAGCCGAAAGGACAGTCGCGTTTTTTTGGAGTTCTCTATCTTTGAGAGACATCCGGATGGTAAAAAAGGGCGGTTTCGGCAGTTCTCTCTTCGACATTCCGCGACCCTGGAGTGAAGGACCATGCACATTTGTCGAGTTGGATACGTCTGGGTCAGTTGCAAATTTGGAGGAGCCCCTTGCAAACGACCGGCGGGCTTATGCCTTTAAGGACTCCCGCTTGTTCGCCTTCTTTTGGTCAGATAGCTTAGGCCGCCCCTGGATGCGATGCAGCGGAGCCTTCACGATGCGCTGGACAGATGAAGTCCCTGCCAAGGGCACCCACCCATCTCAGGCTAGAAGCCAGATCAGCTTCCCCCGAAAGGTAGTGGACAAGGTTGCCAAAGTTTAAAGAGGGACGGGTGGCGCTTCGGTCCAGTTACTTCGCAAGGACCAGCACAAGGCGGGCATCGAACGGCTGCTACAAGCGAGCCTCGATGGAATCAAGCGTGTGAGAGAAGATCCCGTTTTGGAATCCTTCGGATGCTTTTGCTTTTTCTCCATTTTTGGGTATTTTGAGGGGATTCCCAAAAGGAAGCCATCTAGTTGGGGGTTCCGCTCGTTGTGGCACAAACCCATGTGCGTGCCTTGTGCGTGCCTGGTGCGTGGGTGCGTGGGTGCGTGGGTGCGTGGGTGCGTGGGTGCGTGGGTGCGTGCGTGCGTGCGTGGGTGGGTGGGGGTGGGTGGGTGGGTGGGTGGGTGGGTGGGTGGGTGGGTGGGTGGGTGGGTGGGTGGGTGGGTGGGTGGGTGGGTGGGTGGGTGGGTGGGTGGGTGGGTGGGTGGGTGGGTGGGTGTGTGTGTGTGTGTGCACGTGTGTGGATCGTGCTGGATCACGCACGTGAAACTTTTGTGACTGCAGGGGCTGGAGTGTTCTTCAGATGTCTCAAGCCAACGAAGATGCATCTGTTGCAGAGTGGCTCAAACCACGTACCTGCGATCTTTTGATGCCCGACTCGACCTTCCGTTTTTGATTCCATTTCCAAGGCCTTTGGAGTTTTGTTTGATTATGTTTCTTGTTTCCTTGATCATGACTTTCGCATGTTTGCACTCGTGTCGTGCTTGACTTGACAGCGAGTACACCTCGCTCTATAAGTGTGTGTGTGTGTGTGTGCGCACGTGTCAAGAAAGAGTCACAGAGCCATAGACTATCGTCAGTTCACTTCCGGTCCCTTGCTGTCAAGGTATCAAAGGAAGGGGTGTGACCAGCCTTTTGGGATTGGCCGGCTTCACTTCCCGCCTTTAAAACAAAGGTAGTGTTCGGTAGAAGACAATAATGTGCCTCAGCACGAACATGGGTAAAAGCTCAATCTGTTGCAGGGGGTGTGAGAGGTGTGTGGGATCCTTCATTGGGACCCAGAAGGCAAGAGCTATGGCCGGTTAACCTAAAGGTGACACGCTAAGTGTGGGAATTTGAGTGACAGGTCGGACTCTTTTGACTGCCCGTTTATCACTTGGGTTCTATGAAAGTCCTAGCCCAGAAAACGAAATCCCCGGACTGGGCCGGGCTTCTGTTTTTGGAAGCGGCCGGCCGAATTGAAAGGAGCAAAAGGTGTGGGCTCGGGGAGAGTCCCAGTAGTTTTTCTTTCCGATTGGGTACTGTATTTTTGCTGGGATCCTTCTTGTGGCTGGTTCTGTCATCCAAGTCGAAAGACAATTGGGGGGGTTGTTCCTCACTTTCAGCTGCTGTCACCACGTCGACCGAAAATGGGGGGTTGTTCCTCAAATTTCAGCTGCCAGAGGGTGACTTTGATGGTCCCGCTGCAGCGGCTCTCTCTCAGGCAGCAGCTGCTGATCTTGGGCGCGGCTGAAGGCTTCCGCACCGTGTTGCAGGACCGGCGCCTTCGGCGGAAACGGACCTCGCTTGTTTTCTTCCTGCTTCTTTTTCGGGGATTTCCCGAAGTAACCCTAAAAACCTAGAAACCTAAGGGGACGGCTGGGAAAAAGCCGGCCAAAAAGGCCTCCTTCACAAATGACACACGCTTGGACTCCCAAGAAGGGTGCCTATCAAGTGCAAGTGTGGATCAGGCGAGTGATGTCCAATTGAGTGCCTGTCGAGTCAAATCCAAATGCGGGTTGGCTTCCTCGTCTTCCACCAGTCGTCTTCCAGGTGCTCTTCGTCTCTATATACAAGGTTTAGGTCTTGCTCAGGGTTGGTGTTCGCGGATACCTTTTGCCTTTGTTTTGGTTTACCTTTGCTTCTTCGACTGTGTGTGTGTGCCGAAATACAAAAAGACTGGAACCAGACTTTTGCAACAGGGGTGCCAGGGCAGAGCAAGGCTGGCACCGACGAAGACCGTTACTCTTGCCTGTGATATCAATCCAGCATGCTGGATTGACATGCCTCTATGAAGGGCCTTTTGGCCCCTTGCTTTCGGTCGCTATGTGGGCTCGTGTTTGACATGCAACGTTGAAGTCGATGACCAGGAAAAGACGAAGACAAGGAAGACAAGTCCCGGAGAGGCAGAGAAAGAAGCCATTTCGCAAAGGGCCAGGAGCAACAACACGAAGAGGTCCCTGATGTTGAAGGGCTGAGAAGACGAAGAAGACGCAGACGGAGAGGTAAGAAGACCGTCACCAAAAAGAAGAGCGAGGTGGAACAGCGGGAGAAAGAAGGAACCATCCCGCAAAGGGGCCAAGAGCAAGAAGGCGGACACAGCAAAGAAGTAGACGAAAAAGGCAACCAGAATAAACCAACCATGCAAGCATTAAAGCCTTTAGCAGACTGAGGAATGACTGTCGAGTAGGTATCGCGCGCCATCTCTTACAAACGGCTGTTGTACAGGTCACGGTGAAGCCGACCTGGGCCACTCAAGGGTACACTCGCGGATCCCAAATCGGGTGGTACACACCTGGGATGGCGCCTGTCAAGTTCAGTGTGGATTAGTCGAGTGATGTCCAGCTGAGTGCATGTCGAGTCAAATCCAAATGGCTTCCCTCGCAAAACGATACATTGCAAACTTGCACGCATAGCGACCGAAACCAGGGGGCCAAAACGACCTTCAGAATCACTCATAGCAGGTACGTCAATCCAGCGTGCTGGATTGATATCACAGGCGAGAGCAACGTTCTTCGTTGGTGCCAGCCTTGCTCTGCCCCGGCACCCCTGCTGCAAAAGTCTGGTTCCAGATTTTCATTGAAACTCGGGGCACACCCACACACAAAGGCCCAGACGCACAGACGCACACACACACACACACACACACTCAGATATACACACACAGACACGCACGCACGCACACACACACACAGACGAACAGACGCACAGGGACAGGGACGCACAGAGACACGCAGAGAGACGCACAGAGACGCACAGAGACACACAGACACAGAGACGCACAGAGGCGCGCAGAGACATGCAGAGACACGCAGAGACATGCAGAGACACGCAGAGACATGCAGAGACACGCAGAGACACAGAGACACATAGACACAGACAGGCGCACACACACACACACAGTTGGGCACGATTTCACTCGACCCGCGGTCTGCAACCTTTGAATGCGCGCTTCAACATCAATTTTTAGGTGAATTTTCCTGTGCGGTTGGTAACCCGCGCGAGTTGCCCTCTCTCGTATGATGGCCTGGTGCACAACCCCTTTCCGAAACAAAAGGTATCGTCTTCGAAGATGGGAAGGTGCATCAAACCATGTTTGTTGGTGGCAGGGTAGTAAACGGAGGGGCTACAATGCATAATGTTTGGCTTGATGTGTGTTTGATAGCAGGTTAAGAGTTTGGATGCGCTAAGCCATGTTTCTGTGTATCAAGCTTCTTTCACCAGGCAAATGGGCGTATGTGCAGTCTGGAGGCGTCATACATGTTACTTGTTTCAGTCTTTGGCCTATGGATAACTTTTTTGGACCAAACGCTTGCTGTGAAGTTGGCCCGCACTCAGGTTGCAGGAATTCCAAGCTTGCGGCGTAGTCTCTACCACGGCACCTTGGCACGCTTACGTGTCTGGCACACTCCGTCGGGTTTCGTACTGCATGGAGCCCACCGACCCTTCAAAGGTTTCGAGAATCCTCGAAACCTGTTCTGTTTTAGGCTCCGTGGGAGGAAGAGTTGGTATGATTGATGCATTTCCTCCTGAACTCAGGTATTTTTATGTGTTTTTGTGCTCCTTCAGGTCGTGCGCAACTTGGACTGCGAGAAAGCCGACTCCGCGGAATCTGGTGGCCATGTCATTGCACTTGCCACACCGCGGCTTGGCACGGCAAAGCACGGGAGAAAGGTCCCTGTGGACGAAATCCGGGACTGGGGATGGACCCCCGCCCCAAACACATAATGCATGTATAATATGTATATATATATATATTGGGGATAGAGCACGCAGCTGGTGGATTGTGTCCAGCTCTTCGTGCCAAGTTGCCTATGGCTGGTGCGCTTTTGGTGTGGGGGGGGGGCGCCAGGCCCGCGGATGCCGTGCCGCCGTCGCCGACCGCGGATGCCTTGCCGCCGTCGCCGAACTCGGATGCTGTGCTGAAGCGGCAGGCGGAGTTGGCAGAATCCCTTGTCTTCTCTCAACTGTAGCAACACTTGTTTTTACATGCTGCAAAAAGGCCCCACCAAAGTGTGGCGGGTGGTCGGGTTACAAGCCACCTAATATTGACCCCATACTGAACAACCCCAGTTTATTAATAGGGGGGTGGGGGCCCCTCAAGTGATGCCCTCCAAAAGTGGTCTGATTCCAACCACTAAACCCAGGGGCACCCCCCTATTCATGAACTGGGGTTGATGAATAGGTCCCTTTTGAAGGAACATTGCCTTCCAGGAACCCGAAACGTCAGGTTCCATGGCAACGTGGACAGGAGGGAATCTGCGAACCTGGAGGTAAAGGAGGCAAGAGATCTGGTCTAACCCTACCCTGTTGTGGTGGGCGAAAGTAGATGGCACATCCCCCATGGGTTCAACACGCGCTTATGGACAGAAAGAGATTAAACCATCTACTTGGGCAACCTGAAAATGTAAACGAGGAGGCAGTACCCCAACTTGGAACCCACCAGAGAAATGGTTCCGGAAACATGCCTCCAACCTCTCGGGTTCCATGTTGGGTAGGGTGCCCTTGGGTTGGTTTTCCCAGACTCTAGCTGCCATGATTCCGGGGTAAAGGTACTGTTGGCAACATAGGAGAACTTGTTCCTTCGGAAGCAACAAATGCAAATGCAACGTCGAAGCCCCGAGGGCGAAGGCCCCGGTTTTAGCCCCCCAAACCCCGTGATCTCGTTTTCGGGTTGGGTGCAACTTGCAAGAAATCCGGGTCTCCAACATGCAGGCACCCAGATCAACATGACGGGGTTATATATATATATATATAAACAGGAAAAACACACAAAAAACAGAATGGATCACCGGTTGTGGAAAATGGATTGGGATCCCACCCGGGCAACCAAAGGCGATTTTTGACAAAGACCGCGGCGGCCTCGATGCATTTTTCACGTCAAGCACTCTCTGGTTGCCATGGGTTCCCCAGCGGGTCTTGAGGTATCCCCAACAGCTCCGAACCCCCCTGGATGTTTTTCCAGAAGTTTCCCTGCAGGCTTTCAGACCAAATCCAGGAATCGCCTGATTTCTAGGTTACCCTGCAAGAACTCCAAGCTTCTCACGAAAAAAAAAAGGTCGACCGCTTGGCCAGGGCAACATCTACAAGAGCCAACTCGACGCCAAAGGGACCGCAGCTTAGTTGTTTTTTTTTGCAGCTGAATCGCTGAAAAGGGAGGGTTCGCTTTTGGTTTTCTTGAACTACCAGCCAACAAGGGCTGATAAGCCATTTGAAACTCGCAGATCGCGATTCAGCTTACTGCTATATAATGGGTAGGTGGCTTGGGTGGTGTGTTTTCAATGGGACCTTTCCATTGCGAAAGGAACTGATAGTAATCCACACTCATGCCAAAGCCATCATTTTGTGTAAGGTTCTTGGGTCCTCAGCGAACGTAGTGAGTTGGTTGTAAGCATCATGGTAAGACACAATTCCTGTCATCCAACTCAAGTCGATGGTTACAACTTTATCTGCCAAGTTGGTTGAACACCAAAGTGACAGATACGCAAAATGACCGATGCCATCAGCGAAGCAGTGAGGCAATTGCAGCGGGCCGAGCGCCGTGGCCGGCATTGGGAGAGCTTAGCACAGCCGGTAAGGCTTTTCTATTTCATGCATGTGGGTATGGCTCCAAATACCGGAATTCCAAAATGGGTTGCCCTTGCAAGTGGAAACATGGACCAAAACCTGCGTAACCCTAGCTTTTTTTGATTTTGAGCCACTGCCATGTATTTGGACTAGTTCAGGCGCCGCAGGCTCTGTTTATTCAGCTTGGTGAATACTACTAGGATAGGTTTGTATCATGTATATATATATATATATAAGTACATAATATAGCTTGGTGAATTTGCATGTTTATGTATCATATGTGTATATATATATATATATATATACGTACACACATGTACAATGGTTTTGCTGTGTCCAAGGGCTGCTTAGGAGCCTTTGCCTCGGTGTTCATCTTTTCTTTGATCTTCTCCTAAGCCTTCTTCAGCTATCTTCGTCTTCTCCTCCTCCTGCTCTTCCTCATTCTTATTCTTCCTTCGTCTTCTTCTTCAAGGTTTTGTTGAGCGCATCCAAGGAGCAGCAAACTCATCAAGCCCGGCGCCGCCAGCAGCATCCTAGCTTCAAACGGGAGCGGCGCCCCCCTGGTGTGGTTTTGGAGGCTCGGTAGCCTCAGGTTGCCTTAAACCAACAGGCTGGTTTTGGTGTGGTTTCGGTTGGTTTTTTTTGGTTTGGCCACCCATGCCCACCCTTTTGACACCATAGATTAGCGAAAGAAACTCGACGCGAAGGAGATTCCTTTAAGCAAAGCACCCCTGAACATCCATGGTTGTTGATGGGGTAGAGCCACTTTCTGCATGTTCCCGAAGGACATTCCTTCGGGTGTACTCCCTGATTTGGTCATGAGGACAGTGATGGAACAAGAACCAAGACTGTTCTTCTGAGCCATGGGCTTCTTGTACGTTGATTTCCGAGGGTGTACGGAAGTCGAACAACTCCCTATGCTGCCTGTTTCTTCCGGGTCCGCGAAGCGGTCTGGGACGGATGCTTAGTTTGACATTGTAGCCAAAGGAAACACCAACCTTGTTTTTTTGTGTGTGGATTTTCTTGGGTTTTAACTCAGTCAATATTCTTATGCCACACATTAGTTTCACTTGTTGTGTGTGCGGATAGGCGGATTAGGGATGCCTCCCCATTTGAACAACCCATTCGGCCTGCAGAAGGCTTCCTGAATGCTCGCGGAGATCCGGATAGCCCTTTCAACATGTCGCCAAAATCCTCGCATTCGTTTGCCTTTTTGTCTGGGCCGTCTGGTAGCAAGCAAAGAGCCACCGGTCGATGCATCGCCGCGCGTCTTTTGTCGCGTCTAAGGCCTTGGAAAGCTCAAGAAGGAGTTGCAAACGGAGCAGAATGACGATCACCGCCAGGACGTCTATGATCGATCCCTCAGCAGAAAGCAGAGGGAGGGGGCCTGATGAACCCAGGACTCCCTTAGTCGTGCAACCTCAGCCTTTTGTGAGTTGTTTGCTTGGGGCCTTCCGAATTCCCTCAATTGCCCCGGGGGACAAAGGATATTATTTGTGTTTCAGCAACGTGCCACGTGCCCCGGAATAGGTAACCCTGAGAGATGCACTTATAGCTATCTTATGCAACCCCCAAGGATATATCCCTTGAATACTTTACCCGCCCTCTCTCCCTCTCTACAAGCATGTTTATGTGTTTGTATATGTGGATGCATATGTATATGTACATGTAATTTAATTTGTCTATGTACCTGTATATGTGTATGTATATGTGTATGTATATGTACATGCATATGTATATCTATACGTGTATGTGTATGTATATGTATATATGTATATATATATATATGCACGTGTGTATGCATACATGTATATGTATGTATGTGTATATGTGCATATATGTATATGTGTATATGTGTATATGTGCATGTATGTATATAAGTGTATATTTGTATGTATGTGACTGTTGGCGTTTTTGTAGGTGTATATATGTATATATGTATATATGTATATGTATGTATGTATATGTGTATATATGTATATATGTATATGTGTATATATGTATATATGTATATATGCATATTTGTGTATATGATGTATATGTGTATATGTGTATATGTGTATATGTATGCATATATGTATGTATAAGTATATGTGCATACGTGTATATATGCAAACATGCACACATGTATATATGTATACACGCATATACGTATGTATATGCATATTCATTTTTTAGGGATGTTTTTGGGTGGGATTTGAACCCCCTTGAGTGGAGCTCATGAGACCAGCTTCGCAGCTGGTAGCGTAATTTTCCCATGTCAGGCCTGAGCACAGCATGGACCCCCAAGGGGGGGCAACTGGGAAGCGTTACTCCCTTAACCCTTTTCAGCCTCAAGGCCTTCTCGGGCTCATGTCCAGACACCAACCGTCTCATGTGAGGGTTCTTCAGAAGGAGCGAATGGAAAAGCGCTTTCGATGGCGCAGACAAAGCGACCTGCGATAAAAGCAGCAGAGTCGCAGGACAATATTTTTTGGCCGGTTTAGTTGTACCCAGATGGATTCCTCTGCTTTCAGCTCGGTTCTAATGATTTATCAGTGCCAACGGGCACCGAGGAACAGAGAGTTAACCGCCTCGTGACGGTCATATTCATGAGTCATCCCCTTTGAGTGATTGTGTGAAATATCCGTCAACGACCATAGGTGGACGACTCCTACAGCGAGTTTGGTCGTATCCCAAAGGAGGGTACCCGTTTTGGGGCTGTTTACAAGGGTACCCTTTTCGCTCCCTGATGTTGGGCACCACGTCCATGTCTTGTCGCCCAAGGATTGCACAGGTTTGTGCGGGGACCGTTCGACCTGGTCATGGGTCTGATCATCATGCTCCCCGGCCTCCAAAAGCAAGTCATGTTGACCTTGAATCTAAGTACATCCTGGCAGAATAAAATGGGAGTGTTCCCCGCAAATGATCCGCCCTCCTCTAACATGGGACAGTCCCTCGACCAGGAGAAAAGCACTTCAGGGTTTTTATTTCAGGTGAATCCCCTTGACACCGGTGGGTGCAACAAGAGCTGCCTTTTTGATCTCTCTACCAAGGGTTGGGCAGACATCTTTTCTTTATTGTCCAAAAACCCACTGGTAGTTTTGCCTTTTCTAAGATAGTCGAAACGACAAATGACGGGTCTTGTGTTTTTTCAACAGAACGAGAGCATTCTTCGCATTGTCTCTTTTTTTGTTAAAGACGGACTCTCGGTCCCCCGTTTTCTAAAGGTAAATTGAGAGGAAATCCACAGAGACATTGATCCAACTCTCGATTGGTGGTTTGGATTGGTTTGGGGATTTGAACCCCTCCACAAGAACGGTCAATGGGAAACCCCACCACCGGGCTCCACACCACCAAGTGCACCTGCCTCCAGGTCTTGGGATTTTTTTCCTTTCGGAGGCCCTTTAGGACGAGCGACCCGAGGATTCCTTGTTCTGAAAGTGAGGTGTTGGAAGAGTGAAACATCAGACAAATGAACGGTTATATAAACAAGTGAACAAGCAAGCGAACAAACAAAGCAAACAAGCAAGCGGACAGAACCAAGAAACGCATGAATATATTCATGCCACACAGACCCAAACAAACCCAAAGCAAAACAAGCTGATCGCAAGGCATTCAGAGCTATCCCTCCGGAACAACATGGCCCCTCAGCCGGTTGAGCTTGAACAGCTCGTTGACTTCGTGTTTGTTCGTTCGCTGGTTCGTTCGTTCGCTGGCTTGTGTGCTGGCTTATGCTTGTTTTAGCCTTTGTTTGAGCTTTTGTTTGCTTTGACCGCCAGCGAGCATGCGGCTTAAGAGCCCAGGATGAACGCTGTGGCGTCCTGGCGGCATTTGGCTTCCAAGAAGGCCGTGGATGGCTTTCTTTTGGTGCTTTTGACGACCTTCAAAGAATGACACTCTTGTGGGGTTTGGGAGTTGACGCAGAAAGAGGGGGGAAGAAGCTGGGGCACTCTGAACGCTAGGAATTTAATGGGGCAAGCCATGTATCAGCTGGTGCATGCCGGGGGTTCTGTGCATCAAGAGTAGCATGCGAGCTTGAGGTGATGTTTATCCAGACGATGGATGAAGGCGCCTATGCCAACAGGGTCCTGGCTGGGCAGGCGCACGCGGGTTGGCAGGGAAACTCATGTTAAAGGCGGTTTTGAGTTGTGGACCTACAAAAGGGACAAAGGAGTGTGTCACATACGTGGTTGATGGTTTGACGATCAGCTAGTAATAAGTTATTGCTACCTCTTGTTTACAAGGGTTAAGGGGAACTGGCAGAATGGGGGGCAAATCTATCCGCTCAGCTCCCATACTTCAGCTTTGGGTTGCTTCAATCCCTCCATTTTGGCCCAAATGTCCTCTATTTGAGGGGATGTCTCAGAGGAAGCATTCGAACTGTTCAATTTTAACGGGGAACACCCTCACAAGTGGTTGGTGGACCTGTTGGGATTTGAGACGGCGCATATGGGTGTGTCTTTCTTTGGCCCCCCCAAATTGGTGGTTTTCCTTTTGCCACATGCACAAAGAAAGGGGTTCCCTCAAAAAAGACACCCCCCATATAGGGCGCCTGTTTTCGGCCAGGAAGAGGGCGAGATGCGCCTCCACCCGTTTTTCCACGCTGCCTGGCTGCTAAATAAGACAAACTTGGCGTCGCCATCCTGTAAGGCCCTCGGAACAGTTGGGACGCACAATCTGTACCTACTTCGGTGTTCGGCCAAATTAGCAAGTGGAAAGCCACTCGGGGTAAAACCCGCTTGTCAGTCCGCCTGTGTGGGGTTAGCCTGGTTATAAGGCGATCACGTACTTGGCCGAACACCCAAATCCCAAATCGACTGGGAATCCCGGCAATGCAATTCTGGCTTTCGAGATCTCAGACCTGCCATGGCAAGTTGTTGGTTTGCGGGACCACCTATGATACCCGCGCCGCCCCGAAACTCGTTTCGGCGGGGCGTCCTGGAGTAATTTTTGGTACCACGGCTATCAAGGATTCCCACAAAGATGGTCCCTGTTTCGCAGCTGAGACATCAGGACCCTTTTGGTTTCCAAGAACAGAGGTCCTAAGACTGGGCCTCGCTTGCGATGCGAGACCAACTCGCGCGGGCGATCCGAGGTGTCCGAGTTTTTCTTCATGTCGATCTATTTTCTGGAGCCACGTGGCAAGAAAAGGACGTGGCGCCATTTGGGTGTGTCAATAGGAAGAGCAGGACCCTAAAAGAGGCTTTGCTGTTGGGTTCCCTTTATCCCGATGGTTCCGAGCCTCCAAAAAAGAATCAAACCCATTTGTTGGGGTTCCATAAGTCACCCTTTTTGGGGTTCTTGGGGATTCAGAGGCTACCTTGCGCGCATGGCTACCTTGGGTGTACCCACAATTTCTCGACCCCCTGTCCAGCGCCTATCTCATGCGTTCCATGTATTCGGGGAGTAGCCATGGGTACCTCGGTTGGCCGTGCTTCCAAGGCTGGTGCTTCGAATTGGCGTCTGAAGCTGAGCGCGGTCCGATTTTTGGTCGGATTGGGGTCGAAAGATGAACGACTCCTGGCAAAGAAACGGTTTCCTTTGGGCTTCCCTTCAAACCTTTCTAGGTGTCCGGAGGATTCGGTATCCCCTAGAAACCGCCACGTGGCGTGTCTCAGACTCGACGTCGCCGAGGTGTTGGGTCTGCGGAGCTTCCTTTACGACGCCGATGCTGAGGAAGGCATCCAGTGGCCCAACATCTTCGATGCCCGTCGATAATTTTTGTGGCAAGCCGTGGTCCCAACCCAGAAACGGCGGGGGTCGGGGTGGGAGATGAAGAGAGAGGGCGAGAAAGCAAACCAACCCAGGGGGGACCATCAAAAAGCGGGGATATGAGGAGGGGGGGGAAGAAGATGAAAAGGGGAGGGGAGGGGAGGAAACGAACCAGTTGTGGAGGGCAAATGGATTTGAGGTGACTCATGTGGAGATTTGGGGTCTTCAGACTCCGAAGTGCGCTCCAAAGGCCCCCATCAATGATCCTGTTCCCCGTGCTCCAACTGCCTAGCATGGCTGGAGTCGACCCTAAGAAGGGTTCCAATCTCGCCTTTGCGAGCGAACCCCACAAAACAGTCGGGGTGTTCAACCCACGTGAGGTAAATGGTCACAGTAATATGTGCTTGATAACAAATTAGCAATGGCAGGGAAGCAATTTTTGGCAAACGTCACGCATATGAAAAATGAGAAACGAATAATCATATATTCCTCTATATAGTTCAATAAGCAAATACATAGATACATAAATCAATATAATATACAGGAAATGCATAAATCCGAACAACAATTAAATGCATGAAACAATGAATAAGCAAAGGAAAACAAACCAACTAAATACACATGAATAATACTACTACTACTACTACTACTACTACTACTACCACTACTGCTACTGCTACTGCTACTGCTACTGCTA